AAAAAAAAAAAAAAAAAGACTCAGTCTCTGTGTCTGTCTCTCTCATGAGTGTGTGTGTGTGTGTGTGTGTGTGTGTGTGTGTGTGTGTGTGTGTGCGTGTGTGTGTGTGTACATGGACACCTAAAAATTATGGCACAGATAAGAAAAATCTCAAGCCAAGGAAAAGGAAAGGGGAAGTGAAGATAAAGAGCCATGATGGAAAAAGACTTTATGGCAAGAGAAGATCAGACAGGAAACGAAGTCCAATGGGAAGGCCAAAGGTTGTGGACAAAGCTCCATCTCCAGTCCTAGTGGCACCATGGCAACCAACTCAAGACCAGCTTCTCAAGACACTTCCTGGACAGAACAAGTGAAAAGACCACCCCACCTTCTTCACTTGCTATACCCAGAATTCATCCAACTTTAGTTCATCTGACAATTACTCTGAGTGGATTCACTGAATGAAATGCATGCAGGATCTTAACTGGATCTGTCTCTCAAACCTCTGCTCCACGCCTCCCCCAAAGGATGTACTCTCCTCTCCTTAGTCCTCAACAGCTGACCCTCAATGTTGGCTGACAATGCGCTCTTCCAAACCCCACTACCCCTCAACATCCACTGTGAGCACCTTCCTTAAACTTCTGTCTACTTCCAACCCACCTCAAGGCTCACTTCATTTCCTTAGCTGACCCTTCCCTGGCTACTCTGACCAAACAGGAGCTCCTTGTCCACATTCTTCTCACTTGGCCTTTACCATGCCTTATATTACCTTCATGGAGCTTGCAAAAACTTAAGGAACACTTCCAATCAATCCCCTTTAAAATGTAGACTTTGGGCTGGAGAGATGGCTCAGTGGTTAAGGGCACTGGCTGCTCTTCCAAAGGTCCTGCGTTCAATTCCCAGCAACCACATGGTGGCTCACAGCCATCTGTAATGAGATCCGGTGCCCTCTTCTGGCCTGCAGGCATACATGCAGACAGAACACTGTATACATAATAAATAAATAAATCTTAAAAAAAAAAGTACTTTATATAAGTTTGTTAACCTGCAAGATTCAGAATGCTTGTTACTATGTAATTAAAAAAAAAAAAAAAAAAAAAAAAAAAAAAAAAAAAAAAACACAAAAACACGGAGACAGGAGAAGAAGAAAGGAAAAAGCAAATTAAAACAGGAGAAAGGCAGAGGTAAGGGAAGCAGCAAGCACTCAGCTGTGTCTCCTCAACTACTGTTTTCTTCCCCGACCCGCATAACCCTGTGAAGTAAGAATTTAAACTGTCGGGCTGGAGAGATGGCTCAGAGGTTAAGAGCGCCGACTGCTCCTCCAGAGGTCCTGAGTTCAAGTCCCAGCAACCACATGGTGGCTCACAAACATCTGTAATGAGATCTGGCACCCTCTTCTGTATACATAATAAATAAATAAATCTTAAAAAAAAATTTCATTCAGTGATGCATTTTTATGGCAGTTACCAAACTTGCAATGCTCCTAAGTACTGAGATGCCAGCACCCGCCTGCCCGTGAGTGGCACCTCCCTTCCCTCATGGAACATTTCCCTGTCTCTGCTTCAGTCCTTCCTTTTTATTCGGGGCTCCTTCCTTTCTGACTGTTTTCCTTCCCATGCCTCTTTCTCCTCCTCCCCTCTCTAATCCGTACTGTGCCTTTGCTGTACTTTTTCTTCATGTTTCTCTCCCTTGGTCTTCCAAGCATCCCATCCCTGCCTGCCTGCCTGCCTGCCTGTGTGAGGTCAGCACCAACGCCCAGCTCCATCCTGCATGCCTGCATGCTGCTTCTGATGGTTTTGGCAAAAATTCTGAGTTAGGATAATAATTGTGAATGAGCCCCAGTTTTTAAATACTCATTATTTCCAGGCAGATATTATCTAGTGCCTTGTTCGGGCTGACTAAAGTATACATTGACATTAAGTCAAATCCAGTTTTGTTTCTCTGTGCATTTCCACTCGTATGTACATACTTATGGAAATACACGTGTTCACACTTGAACGTGTGAACTTGAAAAACCAAGATAGCAGCAGATTTTGAAACAAGGAACTTAAGTTGAGGGAGAAGGGGGGAAACCTTTGTAAAGAGATGGGCAGCAGCCGTTCTGTATGTGCTTGGCGAGCTCCTTTGTGGAGACGGAACTGGGTAGTAGATGCTGTAGACGCAGAGGCTTGTAAAAGCTAGTCCTAAGGCAGAGCTTGCGATGGTGTAGACACCAGTCAACAAGAAATTAATAAAGTGGGCAAGCACAGGAGTGGGCAGCGCAGATTTTAATAAGGAGTGGTATCAGAACAGTGTCTTTTGTTGAGGTGGGAGTTTATTATTTTATTTTTTTATTGAATCCTAAATGAATGGTACTTCAGATAGTAGAGATTCACTGCATTCTCACGTTATTCAGAACTGTGTCAGCACGTGGAGGCTCTGACTGTGTGGTAAAAAGATGTGTTCGTCACTATTATTTCCCTACTATGTGCTTAAGTTTGTCTTGTATTTAGGCCAGAAGTAGTTTTCTGCCCAGAATCTGTAATATTTGCTTAGAAATATAATTTCTTAACTATTTATTTTAATTGGTTGATGCCACATATTAAACAATCCACTCGTATAAACTGTAACATTCCGATTGTGTCTGGTGGGTTCGCTGCCATGGTCCGCCATCACCACATCACATTTCGGAACATCGTCATCACCCGGAGGGAAACTCAGTGCCCATCCACAGTCCGTGTGTGTCAGGCAGCCAAAGCACTTGTAACAAGATGCACAGTTTGATGGATTATAAACAACAAAATTTGTTTCTCATAGTTGGGGGGTCTAGGATATCCAAGGTAAAGAGCCAGAAGACTCCGTGTCTGAGGGCCACTTCCTTCATGGGGCAACATGGTGAGGGTCCCTGAAGGACTTCCCTAAGGGCACCAGCTAGCCCCACTCATGATCCAGTTCACCACCAAAGACCTTCGTTCCTAGGCATCGCTTTGAGAGTAGGATTTAAGCTGTTCGGGGACATAGATGTTGTACCTGTCATATAGTCAACTACCCAATGAACCCAGTTCTCAACAACCACAGCTCTAGCTTATGGTTCTGTAGGTCTGTATCCATATATATCGATATAAACAGACCCATACTATATGTGTTCTTTTGTGTCTAGATGCTTTTATTCAACATAATAGCTTCAAAGGTCACCTGCCTGCTTTATGGCTAAATGGTATTCCATCACATAGCTGTTCATTCTTTTTATATTCATCAGATGATGGACATTTAGGTTGTTGCTACTTTTGCTTATTAGGAATGCTATGCTTTGGCCATTCATGCGCAAATCTTTGTATAGACATGTGTTTTCAGTCCCATGGGGTATATACCTGAGTATGCCTAACTTCTTGGTTTTCACAGTACTCATTCTCCAATTTTTTAATAAACTTTTGTACATTTTAATTATAAAACATATAGCTAAAATTAATTTTGTTAGTTGCTAGAAAGATGGTTCTGGACTTAAGACCATGTCCTCCTCTGGCAAAGATCTGGGTGCATTTCCCAGCACCCACACCATGGGGGTCGGCTACAACCAACTGTAACTCCAGCTCCAAAGGATACCAAGCCCGCTTCTGATCTTCATGGGCATCACACTCACGCCAACACATGCACACATACACATACACTCCTGTGTCATTCTGCGTAGCTGTAAAGAACACTACAAATTTAAAACCCTGCTTCTTCTCCCAAGTCAGGCTCAGTATTTCTTCTGATCATCTTATATCAAGTGTCTCTCCTTCTCCCCACACTGCCTCATCCTGCCAAATTGGGCCCTTTTTGTCTCTCTCTGCACTGACCAGCCAGTTGTCCGCCCTGGCGTAGTCTTCCTTTTTTTTTTTAATCCTGGCACGCTCAGACACCAGACTGCCTGGGAACTGAACCCTAGCCTTCTGGAACATCAGTCAGTGACCTTAAGCGCTGCACCATCTGTCTCCCCCACCTTGGCGTAGTCTCCTCCCCACGACTAACTCGGTGAGCCCTGGCCAAGCTGATCTCTCTAAACCTCTGCTTCTGTTTTGCTGTCCGTTGACCTCACAGTGAGCACCCTACCCTCTCCCTAAGCTGTTTGCCCAGGTTAGCTCATTTCCATCCATAGAAGAGGGCTAATCAGCCACTTCCATATCACAGTAAGTATTAAATAATCGCTCTGAGGGTGGGGGCTTCGTCGACAACGTGACATAGACATCTCCGTGTAACCATGCATTTCTTTATCTTTTCCTAGGGGAGCAAAGATTCTTAGGGTAAATATGAATGTTCATAAATATATGGTTACATTTTAATAAATTTGTTGTATGTATAAACTAACTGTGTAGTTCAAATAACGATTCTGTGGATCCTAAACACTATTTTTTAATTTACTTTTACTTGTGACTGTGTGTGTGTCTGTCTGTCTGTCTGTCTGTGTCTGTGTGTGTCTCTATGTGCACCATGTTTGTGCAGGACACCACAGAGGCCTGATGAGGGCCTCGGGTCCCCTGGAACTAGAGTTGACAGGCAGTTGTCAGCCACCTAAAACAAACAGGTACCTGGAACCAAGCCCAAGAGCAGCACGTACCACTGGGCCGCTTCTCGTCCCTCTAAATGCTTGATATGTAAAGAGCGTATAATGTTACAGGATTTAAAATACCACAGTGTATTCATAGCAAGGGTTTTTTGTCTCTGCCTGCAAGTTAGAGCCTTGTGCGCTAAGTGGATTAGTATTTATTTAGTATTTGTTGTATTGTTTAGTATTTATTAAGCAAATCTATGAATTGCTTTTTCTGTTGAATCTGCTGATTTGAGTAGCTGGTGATTGTACAGTGGGAAGTTAACTTTCTTAGATAACAACTAAGAAGGGAATATAGAGCAAGTATAAAATAGGAAGGTAATATTTTGAGAAAGGTCACTCTATATGGGCGTGGAAAATTCCTCTACCCATCAAGGAAGGCAGCCGCCGAAGCGTGGCCACAGTTCAGATGCAGGTTACAGAGGTGTTCCATAGGGTGACCCCTGGCTTCCGTGCCCGTTCAGTACAGTGGAAGAATTTATGAATTAAATCTTTCATCTTCCATTATGCATGAATCATTTCCTTTCTGTAACGGACATGTCCGTGTACACTCATGCACTAGGGAACACCCCGCTTCTGAATGTTGTTTCTTTGAGCTTACCAGTGGTATCTGTTTGTTCTTCTTAGTTGTTTGTTTAAAAGGACGCTAATCTGAAACTTGGTCCCTTTGTCATTTGACCCAGCAAAGCTCGCTGATAACAGCCTTGCTCTGTGGTGCTTGAGAATTTTTGCAAAACTGTATACAGAAGAGGGGGTGGTTTTGCCAGTTCAGACTTAAAGAGCTCTCTTTAGGAAAAGTGGCATGCTTTCTTGGGTTAGTTACAAGATCTTTAATGTGGCTAATAAATACATAGTAACCCAGAGAAAAGACTACTGGGCTTAAATATGAGAGAGCTCCCTGTAGAAACGTGGGAGGGGTGTGGGTTTTTTTTGTTTGTTTGTTTTTTGTTTGTTTGTTTGTTGTTTGTTTTGCTTTTTTTCTTTCTTTGTTGTTTTTTATTTTTTGAAACAAAGTCTAACTTATGTAGGCTTGCCTGGCCTGGAACTCTAGACCAGGCTGGCCTCAGACTTGAGTGCTTGGATTGCAGATGTGTGGGACCACACCCGGCCTCTTTCCCTGCTTCTCTACCCTCGGAAGCCCTTTATCATCCAGTGTAATGTTGACCAGGAGCAAGAGGAGTGAGTGTGTGTGTGTGTGTGTGTGTGTGTACCACTTCTGGATCTGTTTTGAAGCTGGGCATTCTAGTATATGATAAAGTATCACTTAGTGGATCCTATGAAGTAGGAGTTACTATCTCCATTTACAAATGAGTCAACTAAGAATAAAACAGGCCAAGGG